AGTTTCCGCCGGGGTTTAGCGGAGTTAAAGCCGCCGCGGGGCGAACAGGCGGTGCCGGAGGGGTGCGGGTGGCGTTTAAAGTTAATTCCTTTGTGTTCCCTCGCAGTTTTGGGGGTGATTCACCCGTGAGGTGGCTCGGGAGCGCGAATACCTCGAGGGGGAGAGTTTGAGGTGGTGCCGGGAAGGGGTTACACAACCCTCATGGCGAGGGAATGCTGCAGGAATTTCAACAAAAATTCTCGTTTTGGGGTGGAAAAAAAGCACCTTAACTGCTTCTCAATTCATTCCGTTGCTGCTCGAGGGAAATTTCACTTTAAAAAGCTGGTTTTGAGGCCAAATCCGTGGAATAAAGGACATTTTTGGCTCCGGTTTAAGCCCGCGGGCAGAACCAGCAGTTTGAACCTCGCGTGCTCCGAGTCCTGTTGCAGATTTGAGGTTGGATTTGGGGTTGTGGGTTCGGTTTCACGGGGAGGAAGATCTGGAAAAATAGACGTGGAAAAACAAATCGGGGAAAATGTGCATTTTTTTCTACATTTTATCCACTTTTTGGGGGTTTTTTTTCCTCATTAAGAATAGTCAAATTGGGCTTTGAGGAACTGAAATAAAATCCTGACTAGCACAATTTCGTTTAAATCTGCACCTTGGTGTCCTTAGGGGGAAAAAGGGGGTTTGATATTACAGATTTTTATGTTTTTAGGGATTTCTGAGCCACTTCCTGGGTGTGGCTTCAGGAATCCTGTGGTGGAATGTGAGTAATAATCCACTTTTTTGAGGAAATAAGAGCTCCCCTTTCAGTTCCTCTTTCCCCAAACGCCACAAACAGGAGAATTTCCCTTTAGTTTGGGTGAAACTTTTTAGTTCTGGAACTCCAGGGGGGAGCAAAAAACCCCAGTAGATAAAATATCTCCCCCAAATAAGGACTAAAATGTATTATTTTATGTAGATCTTTGGGTTGTAGTTACCCAAAGTAGAGGTTTAAGCGAAGCTTGAAGTGTTTTTAAGCTTCTTTGGGAGCCTGAAATTCAGAATTCCAGGAAATTTCTGCCTCATCCTCGTTGCCTGGAATATTTTAGAGCAGTTCAAGGGCCAGGAATGTAAATCCAGTTTAAGGAATAACCATAAAAAAAAGCTTCTACTACTAAATTTTATGTTATTTTTTCAACCCAACAGATTAAAGAGTCACAAGGGTTTCAAATCTAATTGAATTATTTCGTTTCTCAAGCTTTAAAAAAAAGTTCAGGGAGGAAAAGACTGAAAAATTCCCATCCCTGAGGCTGGAAAAGCCTCAGAGAAAAACGGGGAATCCCCTCAAATATAAAATTTTGGAGCCATCTCCACTCTTGTTTCCTTTATTCCAGGGGGTTTTGTCTCTTCAGGGAGGAAATGGAGGGGATGGAGTTGGAATTTCTGCCCTGGAATTTTGGGTTTTTAAGTTGAGAAAAAGCTCAGCACGGGCAGGTTTTAGAAACTTCAGCTTAATGTGTCCTCCTGAATTCCTTGTAAAAGATGTTTCTGGGCATCTCTTCACCCAGAGAACGAGGAGATAAATGGGATTAGTGAAGGGAATTATGGAAGGCTGAGCCTGAGGCATTTAATTTATTTTTCCTTTCAAGGTTGCTTGAGGAATACTCTTAATTTCTATTTTTTTTTAAAATTTTTGTCCTGAAATAAGGAAGGGAAATATTCAATATGGGGAAATATTCAATATGGGGAAATATTCAGTATGTGGAATTTGTCATCCAAAATCTGTTTTAAGTGGAATAGGAAGGAAAAATGGGTTTGTGAAGAGTCCCTGGGCTGAGAGATACAGATTGTTGTGTTAAAATAACGTTGTTGGGTTAAAAATTCTAATAGTGGGGGTGGTTTTCTTGGAGTTAAAGGTGTTTGAGGGGTGTGGGGAGGTCACGAGGAGGTGGAGCAAGGCTTGGTTGGCTTTGGCTGGAGTGTGGGAGGCTGAAAACTTGGGAGAAATGGGGGAGAAAATCGGGGACCTTTCCCTCCTGGGAAAGGAATCCCAGGGAGTGGGATTGGGTGGGAATCCCGGGGAGTGGGATTGGGTGGGAATCCCGGGGAGTGGGATTGGGTGGGAATCCCAGGGAGTGTGTGAGGGGATCTTTGGGCCAGGGCCATGTTTTTGGGCCAGTTTTGGGGGGAAGGAGCAGCTTCAAAACCAACCTGAAGGGCTGAAACTTGGAAGGTGAGAGTGGGGAGGGGCTGGGATGGAATTCCCAGAGAAGCTGTGGCTGCTCCAGCCCTGGGAGTGTCCAAGGGCAGGTTGGAGAAGGGAAGGCTCCAGGGAGAGCTTGGAGCTGCTTCCAGGGCCTGAAGGGGCTCCAGGAGAGCTGGAGAGGGACTTGGGATGAGGGATGGAGGGACAGGACACAGGGAATGGCTTCAAAGTGAAAGAAGGGGGAATTTAGATAGGATATTGGGAAGGAATTCCTGGCTGTGAGGGTGGGGAGGCCCTGGAATGGATTTTCCAGAGGATACCCCATCCCTGGAAGTGTCCCAGCCCTTGGCACTGGATGGGCTTTAAGGTCCCTCCAAGCCAAACCATTCCATGATTCCAGAATTCCAGCAGAGCCAGGTAGTGGATTGCAGGGTGGATCTCTCCTAAATACAAACTGTGGATCAGTTGATCTTTTTCCACACCTTTTTCATGGCCATAAAAACGTGACCCACCTTCTTGCAACACTCAGGAGTTTGGAGTCCCTGCCCCTGAGGGAAATGTGCTTTGCCTCCAGCCCCAGGGCAGGGATGGAACAGGATCATCTTTAGGGTCCCTCCAACCCAAACCATTCCATGATTCCAGCAGAGCCAGGCAGTGATTGAGCTCCTGATTCTGCCCCTCAGGGAGATGTGCTTTGCCTCCAGCTCCAGGGCAGAGGTGGAACAGGATCATCTTTCAGCTCCTTCCAACCCAAACCATTCCACATTTTGCTTCAGTTTTAGGACTGTCCCAACTCCATCCCAAGATTTGGTGGCAGTCCCCGACCCAGAGTGATCCATGTGCTGATTCTCCCTGTTCTCTTGCAGCGAAGGGGAGAGACCAGCCCAGAACGAGAAGAGGAAGGAGAAGGGGGTGAAGAGGGGGGGGAACCGCTTCGAGCCCTACGCCAACCCCTCGCGGCGGTACCGCGCCTTCATCACCAACATCCCCTTCGACGTCAAGTGGCAGTCCCTGAAGGACCTGGTCAAAGAGAAAGGTAAAGTGCTCCTCAGGTGGCCCAGGGATGTCTTGTTGTCCTCCCTGTGCCCGACTTCCTGCAGCTCTGGGTGGACTCGGTGTGATTTTAGGCTTTTGGAGACGGTTCTTCCGCGGCTGTTGCACGACATCCGTCCCTGGCAGCTCTCCAGGGGGATGGTTCCCGCGGGGGCATGTTGGCAGTGCAGCTGCTGGTGCTCCAGCCCGGGGTTAGGAGGATTTTCCTTAGGCCTTTCTCAGATTTTTAGCCTCCCTGGAGCATTTTTTTGGGCGTTCAAGGCGGTCATTTCCTGCTCTGGTGTGTGGAGATCCCCGAACTCGGGGCGATTTTGGGGCTCAGTTCAAGGGCCATTAAACGCATTTAAGGGTGACCTGCCAAAAAAGAGCCATGAGGTTTGTGCTTTGGCATGTGCTGCAGCAGGCTCAGGGTCCTGGCATTCCCACTTCCACGTGGGAGCTGCCTTTGTTGGCCTCAACACCTTCATCTCTGGAGGCAGATGAAGAGATTGAGCTGAGAGGGCTCAGGTGGTGACAAGTCTAAATTAGTGTCATTTCTCGAAGCTCCAGCCCAGCTTCCTGGTTTTCAAGTCACCTGGGAAATGCAGGAGAGTGGCAAGAAAATCCTTGGCTTCTCCAGCATTTCAATGGCTCCAAACAAGTTCAGAGCAAGCAGCACCTTAAATCCAGAGTCATGGTAGTGAGCAGTGGTCACTTGTGCTTGAACTGGGCAAGGATGGAGAGTTCATGTGGTCAAGGTGTGGCCTAATGAAGGGGACAACAAATTTCCAAAGGGTTCTAAAATGTCTTGGCTTTGGAGGCAAAATGGAACCGAGTCTGTCAGGGCTGGAAACCCTGGGAAGCTCCAGGATTAGGGGCTGGTTGAGACCCACCAGTGGGGTTTTCTTGAATGACAACCACAGCCTCCAAGGCTGCTTGGCCAGGCCCCTAATCCTGCAGGGTCCCTGCTCCCACTTGGCTCCACCAGATCCATCGGTTTCTCCGGAGATTTGTCTTAATTCCAAGTTGCTTTTGTTGAATTCCGTTCCAAGTGTCTTGTGGTTTCTCTCCAGATGGAAAAGTCCGGGGTCAGCTTGTTCCCTGCCTTGCTGTTCAGCTGCTCATTCCAGCAGATCCTTCCCTAGGGCAACGGTGAAGCCTCTTCCTTCCGCCTGCAGGGCTCCAACTGGGAAGCAATTCCTGGTTTTTGGGACTGCCTGCCCAACCCACCGCTCCAGCTTTGCCATGGGGTTGGGATTCACTTCCCTCCCTCAGTCCCAAGAACCAGGAACGTGCCCTTGGAAAAAAACCCAAACCTGACCTGTCGTTTTTTTTCTCGTTCCGTGCGAAGAATTCCAGGCCCAACCATTCCCAGGCTTTTCTTTTTGTGTTTTTTCCCCTCTTTTTTTTTTTTTTCTGGGGAGGGAGCAGGTGAAACTTTTTGTCCAGCCCTGGTGGTTTGTGGCAGTAAGTATTTGGGTTAGGAGCCAACCTGGTGGTGGTGGCCAGGCTGCCAAAGGTGCCACCTCTTCCTCTCTCTCTCTCTCCCTCTCTCTCTCTCTCTCTCATTCCCAATGCCTTGGATCAGGCATTCCAGGGTATTTGTTGGTGCAACTCAATTACAGGTATGCAGTGGGAACGTTGATAAAACAGAAAAAAAAAAAGATGTTCTTGGTTGGAACTCCCTCTTTTTATTTTTGGGGTTTTTTTTAGCTGAACTGAGGTGATCAGGTGGTTTAAAAGGCTTCTGGAGATGGCAGGAATTCTCCCTGGAAGTGGAGGCTGAATAGAAACGTGGTTGGATGTTAAGGAGCTGTCCTGGTGTCTCCCCCCACACACCTGGGGAGAAATGTGGGAATGTTTCAGGGATGCCAGCTGGGGTTTGAATCCCAGATATTTCAGGATGTTGTGGTTTTAAACCTTCTTCCTGCCCCCAGTAGCAAATGGCAGAGGATCCAAGGAGAAAGGGTTGGCTGTAAAATGAAGCAATAGCTGTGCCACGTTGGCTGGAGATATTAATATCCATCATTTAGGTGCTTTTCTGGACATTAATTAACAACCAGGAGCAGTTGCAGCCAAGGCCACGCTCGTGCCACACCCCTGGAAGGACAGGACTCCAAACTCCCTGGGAAGGAGAACAGCTCTTTAAACCTCCTGTGCTGCCTTCTCAGCCAATTCCCAGGGATTTTTGGGAGCTTTGTGGCCTCCTGCAGCTCTCGCTGGTGCCTCTGGGTTCAGTGCCCAGGATTCTGCCACGAGCTGCTCCCAGCCCAGCATTTTAGGGAGGCAAAGAGAGAGGGATGAGTAAGGAATGTGCCTTGTTCCCCTTGTTCCTCTATTTTCCTTGGGCCTTCCCTGTCTTCCCAAGGAGTCTCAGTCCTTCCCTGGCTGCAGGAGCTTTTCACTGCCTCTTTCCTCTTTTCTTCTCTCTCCAAGAACCAAAATCTCCCCTTTTTCTGGGTCTTCTTGTGCAAAAGGGACATTTATTTCCCTTCCCCATCTGGGAAAGTGCTGCCTCTTCTCTGCCTCTGCTTTGGGAGGGATGTTTTCCTTCTCCCCTTTTAACCAAAGCTGTGTAAAAAAACACATCAAAAATGTTTCTCTTCCCCCTCTGTGACTTTTTAGGGGTTTCCTGTCAGGAATTTTCCTCTGGAAGTGAAGGAGGAGCAGTGGCCAGCTCTGCATTTCCTCACATCGAAGCTTTTTGATCCTCTTCAAATATTCTCCTCATTTCTTACTTCACATGATTATGAGGCATCCAGACAGTTTAATCATGTCTTGAGTCTTCCTTTCCCTCTTTAATATTTCCTTTTGGCCCTCTAGGCCAAAGAAATAAGTGGGATCTAAACCATTCCCCCCTTTTCTCCTTTTTTGGGCTTGCTCAGACTTCCCTCTCTGCACCTTTCACACCTCTTGGTTTGTCTCAAATCATTAAATTGCCCAACTTGGAAGATTTTTAAGTTGATATTTATGTCCCAGCTGATTGTTCTGGTGAATTCCCAGAAAAATCTTTGGGATCAGGTGAAATCCATCCAAGCCAGGCCTCAGGTCACCCCAGGAACATCCTTTTCTGAGCTTCCTGAACGGTCACTGCCCAAATATTGGAATTCTGCCAGCCCAGCCTGGCTGGAAAATCCTCATTTTCCGTTGCAAATCAACTTTGGGAAGTGGATGTAAAGTTTAAAAGGGAGATAAAAAGTTTAAAAGGATAAAAAGCTGAAAAGTTTGCATTTCTGGCTGGTGCAGTGATTTCTGCTTGCCCCTCTTGAGGAAATGAGTTCCCAAACTTTTTTCCAAGTGTGAGGTTTAAAGAAATAAATAAACCCAGGCTGCTCTAAGTCTTAAAGACACCTTAATTACCCTGGCATTAACTTAAAACCCAGGATTTTCTGGGAGTTCCTGCTCTTTTTCTTTTTAAAAAGCTTCCTTTGCCAGCCTCAACCCACCCTCTCCTGGCAGGATTGGGTCGTTTCACGTGGTTTTCAGGTGAAAAAAAAAAGCATTTTTATTGCACTTGTGCTGTCCTTTGGACTTTGTCTTGGATCCTGAGGATTGGGGCATTCCCCTTTCCCTGCTTTTCCTTGAATTTGGCTCTTCAGGAAGTTCCTTGGAAGGAAAAAAGCTCCTTCAGGTTGTTTTTAATCTCAGGGCTCGAAGGCGAAGCCCCCGAGCAGAACTGGCACATCCTGCCTTTTCCAGGAGATTCCTGGAATTCTCGTGGTTCCCAGCCAGGGATTGGTTAGAAGAGCCAATGTTCCATTGTGTTTAATACATCCAGGCTTGGCAAACTTCCTTGGAAGTTGGTTGTGTGGATCTGAAGGGAGGATTGGAGGTGAATCCCAGGAGCGGTTGGGAGAGAAGAGCCCTCGATCCGAGGGCTCGGGATGTTCTTGGGAGCAAAGTCACAGAATTCCAGCCTGTGGCTCTGAGTGCTTTTGTCCTGTAGGTCCCCTGGGAAGAATTTGTTGTCTCATTCCCTGAATTTGTTGTCTTAATCCCTAAATTGTTGAATCCATCCCAAGTTTGGTTGGACTTGGCTGCTGCTCTTGATGGCTGGCGACAGAACCTTGTGGGAATTCTGAGATTCCAACCCCCCTGGATCAGCCCAGGAGGGGCTGTTCCTCACACAGCCCCTTGGAATTGTCCTGTGTGATCTCATCCTGGATTATGGACTGGAATTCCTGCTCTTAGGCTGGATATCAACAGGGATTTAGCTGTGGCTTGGAATGGGACACTCTGGTAGAGCTGCCCTGGCCCTTTCAGAGGGACTTGTCAGCCCCTTCCAGCCTCCAACACTATCCCAAAAACATCTCCCTGCTCCCTGGCTGGAATGCTGGTAGTGCTAAATTCTTATTGAAAATAAGAAATGGAGATTAAAAGCAAAGAAATCAGTGATTTCATCAAGCATTCCTTTCTTTCCCAATTTTAAGAGAAGCCTTCCAGGCTGTTACTTTTCTGTAATTATATTAAATATAGGCTATTTGATATTATTAATATATAATTAATATTTTATATTTATAGGATAAATTGCTGGCCCTGTGGGAGGTCAGGCTGAACACCTCCCTCTGTCCCTTGGGAGACTCCATTCCTTGCTTAAATTATCCATTAATCCTCCCACTGGGGGGTGGTTTCCCACAAACACAACATCCCACCTTCCAGGTAACACAACCTGGAGTCCTCCTGGGTTTAATTTTACCCCCAGGACTTCTAAAACCAGCTATAAAAAGCAAAAAAAAAAGCATATTTTCACCCATCCTTCTGTGTGCCAGTCCCTTCAAAGGCAGCAGCCACTTGGGTAGTTGGATCCTGGAATAAAAGGCAATCCCAATCCCTTGGTTAAAGGTGCAGCTGGAGTTTTCCAGAGAGTTTTGCCTCTTGCTGTTGATAATTTTTGTCCTGAGAGCAAACAGGGCAGAGTTAAATGCAAATTATTGTAGCTAAAACCAGACTTTTTAATTAAAAATCCTGAAATAAATGGTCCCTTGGTTCAGAGTGAGTCCTTTTGGGACAATTTTTCCCTCAGGATTTCAAGATAAAACAAACCCCTCGTTGGAGTGATTCAAGATAAAACAAGTAACTCCTTCATGGAGACAAACTTGAGGCGAAGGAAACTCCTTCCTGCAGCTTTTCCCAAGGGTTTGGATTGCCTCAAGATCCAGAGGAACCTGCCACTGTGTGGGAAAACCTCAGGAAGCAATCCCAATCCCTTGGTTAAAGGTGGAGCTGGAGTTTTCCAGGGAGTTTTGCCTCTTGCTGTTTTTTGTCCTGAGAGCAAACAGGGCAGAGTTAAATACAAATTATTGCAGCTAAAACCAGACTTTTTAATTAAAAATCCTGAAATAAGTGGTCCCTTGTCCTTTTGGGACAATTTTTTCCCTCAGGATTTCAGGATAAAACAAATCACTCATTGGAGTGATTCAAGATAAAACAAATTCCAATATATCCCAATTCAAGATAAAACAAGTAACTCCTTCATGGAGACAAACTTGAGGTGAAGGAAACTCCTTCCTGGAGCCTTTCCCAAGGGTTTGGATTGCCTCAAGATCCAGAGGAACCTGCCACTGTGTGGGAAAACCTCAGGAAGCAATCCCAATCCCTTGGTTAAAGGTGGAGCTGGAGTTTTCCGGGAAGTTTTGCCTCAGTTTTTGTCCTGAGGGCAGAGTTAAATGTGAGTTGTTGCAGCTAAAACTGGACTTTTTAATTAAAAATCCTAAAATAAATGGTCCTTGGTTCAGATTGAGTCCTTTTGGGACAATTTTTCCCTCAGGATTTCAAGATAAAACAGATCACTCCTTGGAATGATTCAGGATAAAACAAATCCCTCGTTGGAGTGATTCAAGATAAAACAAGTAACTCCTTCATGGAGATAAACTGGAGGCGAAAGAAACTCCTTCCTGCAGCTTTTCCCAAGGGTTTGGATTGCCTCAAGATCCAGAGGAACCTGCCACTGTGTGGGAAAACCTCAGGAAGCAATCCCAATCCTGTGGGGAAAGGCACAGCTGGAGTTTTCCGGGAAGTTTTGCCTCAGTTTTTGTCCTGAGGGCAGAGTTAAATGTGAGTTATTGCAGCTAGAAATGAACTTTTAAATTAAAAATCCTGAAATAAATGGTCCTTGGTTCAGGGTGAGTCCTTTTGGGACAATTTTTCCCTCAGGATTTCAAGATAAAACAAATCCCTCGTTGGAGTGATTCAAGATAAAACAAGTAACTCCTTCATGGAGACAAACTCGAGGCGAAGGAAACTCCTTCCTGCAACTTTTCCAAAGGGTTTGGATCGCCTCAAAGATCCAGAGGAACCTGCCACTGTGTGGAAAAACCCTCAGGAAGCGGAGGAGCCCCAAGAACCCGTTTGAAGTGCTTTGCCCCCTCCCTGCATACCTGTAATTGAGGTCTGGAGACAGGAGTGTTTTCTTGGGGCCGATTTCTTATAAGGCAGAGGCTCCATTCCTGGTCGTTGATTGTTCTAAATTCCCATTGTTTTCTTGGCTTTTCTCCCTTGGTATATGCCTCGATGTCGTCTGGAATCTGATTTGTAGTTGGTGAGGTAACATACGTGGAGCTCTTAATGGACGCTGAAGGAAAGTCAAGGGTAAGTGTTCTGAGAGAATTTACTTCTGTGGATTTTCTACCTGCCCAAAAAAAAAATTGAAAAGAAAGATAAAAAAAATAAAACGTTAGCCGTGTGGTGGTGGCGTGGAAAAAAAGGCAGCCAGGGAAGGAGGGCGCGCGGAGAGTGGGAATGTGGAGATGGCCAGAGTTCCGGCGAGAGCCGCTTTTTTCCGGGGGTTTTGGGAGGAGGTGGCCCTGGGGTTCGGAAGTTTCAGGCCCGGTTTTCCCCCGCGTCAGTTGGCGTTGGCTGTCGGAACTTTTCCCCCCCCTTTTTTTTCCCCCCCTCCCTTTTTTTCCCCCCCCCGGAGCCCAGTTGGTATTTGGCTGGAGAGTGGAATTATTTATTTCTCCATGGCTTTGGCGAAACTCGAGCGGTTTGGCTGCAGTTCGGAAGAGCGGGTCGTGTTTTAAAAAAAAAAAACTCCACTTCCTGGGCCAGGTAAAAACCCTCGGATGTCACCCTCTCTTAGCCCAGAATTCCAGCAGGGATGGAAAAGTGTCCTGGAGGATCCGGCTGTAGGGTTTGTGTGTGGAGGCCAGGGAAGAGCAGGTCACGTGGAGGAGAGGAGTGTGTGGTTATTTTCTTGGAGGAGGAGGAGGAGAGTCGGGATTGAGTTCTGTCTGTTCCAAAGCTCAGAGGAAATCCCAGTTTTTTTAATGGAAATTAGGGGCTGGAAGTCTCGGAGGCTTTTTATTCTCACCGGCAGGGCCAAACCTCAATGTGATTTGACTTGGAAATAAAGAAATAAATTAGGGGTTTGGGGGGTGTTTGTTGGGCTTTTGCTGACTTTGTTTCTGTTTTCTTCCCTCCTCTCCTCCCCGGTCCCGACCTCCGGAATCTCCTCCCCAGGGATGCGCGTAAGTTTGGTTTGGGGGAGGGAATTTTCTCCTCATGGTCTTTTATTTTTTGAATTCTCTCCAGTGATGTGTGAGCTTTTCTACTTCTCTCCAACACCAACCAATCCCCTCTTCCCTAAATTTTAGTCTTTAAGAAATAAAATAATAAGTATGTTTTTGAATTCTCTCCAGTGATATGTGAGGTTTTTATTTCTTATATTTTTGAATTCTCTCCAGTGATGTGTGAGCTTTTCTACTTCTCTCCAACACCAACCAATCCCCTCTCCCCTAAATTTTAGTCTTTACTTATTAAACTAAAATTTTATTTCTTATATTTTTGAATTCTCTCCACTGATGTGTGAGGTTTTTATTTCTTATATTTTTGAATTCTCTTCAACACTAGCAAATCCCCTCTCCCCTAAATTTTAGTCTTTACTTATTAAAGTTTTATAAACTAAAGTATTATTAAACTAAAGTTTTATTTCTTATATTTTTGAATTCTCTCCAGTGATGTGTGAGCTTTTCTGCTTCTCTTCAATACCAAAAAATCCCCTTTCCCTAAATTTTAGTCTATACTTATTAAACTAAAGTTTGATTTCTTTTATTTTTGAATTCTCTCCAGTGATGTCTGAGGTTTTTATTTCTTGTATTTTTGAATTCCCTCCACTGATGTGTGAGGTTTTTATTTCTTATATTTTTTGAATTCTCTCCAGTGATATGTGAGGTTTTTATTTCTTATATTTTTTGAATTCTCTCCACTGATGTGTGAGGTTTTTATTTCTTATATTTTTTGAATTCTCTCCAGTGATGTGTGAGCTTTTCTGCTTCTCTTCAATACCAGAAAATCCCCTTTCCCTAAATTTTAGTCTTTACTTATTAAACTAAAGTTTGATTTATCAATATTTTTAAAAAATAAAATATACTTTTGTAACGTGTACAACTTTATATATTATTTATATTTATATATTATATATATAACATACTCCTTCTATTCAGTGACGTGGTAACGAGTTCGATTTTAAAAAATAATATATTTAAGATGTGTACACTTTAATATATTATTTATATTTATATGTATTTTATATAATATATAACATCCCCTCTATTCAATATGGTGCACAAGTTCAGTTTTAAAAAAACAAATATATGTGTACACTTATAATATTATTCTATATTATTGTATGTTTATATATATATATAACATCCCTCTATTTCAATATGTGCCACAAGTTCAGTTTTAAAAACAAATATATGTGTACACTTTATATATTATTTATATTTATATGTATTATATATATATATCATACATCCCTCTATTTCAATATGTACACAAATTCATTTTTAAAAATAAATATATTGTATACACTTCATATATTATTTATATTTATATGTATTATATATATCATCCCTCTATTTCAAGACATGCACAAGTTCATTTTTAAAAATAAATATATTTATATCGTGTACACTTTATATCTTATTTATATTTTTATATATTATATATATTCCATGCATCCATATATTTTAATATGTGAGCATTAATGCAACTCATATATTAATTTTTTATTTATACACTTTATATATTACTTATATTTTATATATTATACTATATTGATATATTATATATATGATATTATAATATTTATATAATATTTTTTATATACGTATATAATTTATATATATTTTTATATACATATATTTAGTATATATTTATATATATTTTTATATATATATTATATATTATACTATATATTATATATATTCCATGCCTCCCTATATTTTAATCTGTGCCCATGATGCTCCATCCACACCAGAAAGTTTCCCAACCAAACTAAAAGGGGGACAAACAATAAAAAGTGGACATTTTAAGAGTCCCATGCAGGGATCAGGGTGGGGTTTGCTGCTCCTTGGGGGTCCCTTCCCGGGATTGTGGAATTCCCGGGAATCCCTCCCTGCCCCGGCCCTGAGCGTCGTGTCCCCGCAGGGTGGTGGAGTTCAAGATGGAGGAGAGCATGAAGAAGGCGGCCGAGGTCCTCAACAAGCACAGCCTCGGCGGGAGGCCCCTCAAGGTCAAAGAGGTGAGAGCTGCTCCTCTGCTCCGGGGCTGGCTCGGGAATCACGGAGCAAAATGGGATTTGACAACTGGAATTCCAAAAATCCTGTCAGTCTCTTATGGTTTATCTGTTGAACCACTGCTGGACTTGGGTTTAGAGCTGGTTGATGGAGTTTAGAGCTGGTTGATTGAGTTTAGAGCTGGTTGATGGAGTTTAGAGCTGGTTGATTGAGTTTAGAGCTGGTTGATTGAGTTTAGAGCTGGTTGATTGAGTTTAGAGCTGGTTGATTGAGTTTAGAGCTGGTTGATTGAGTTTAGAGCTGGTTGATTGAGTTTAGAGCTGGTTGATTGAGTTTAGAGCTGGTTGATTGAGTTTAGAGCTGATCAAGTTTAAAGCTTGATTGAGTTTAAACCTGGTTATGATCAAGTTTAAAGCTGGTTGATCATTGAGTTTAAACTTGGTTGATGATTGAGTTTAAACTTGATTGATTGAGTTTAAAGCTGATTGAGTTTAAACTTGATTATCAAGTTTAAAGTTGATTGATCAAGTTTAAAGTTGATGATTGAGTTTAAAGTTGATGATTGAGTTTAAAGTTGATGATTGAGTTTAAAGTTGATGATTGAGTTTAAAGTTGATGATTGAGTTTAAAGTTGATGATTGAGTTTAAAGTTGATGATTGAGTTTAAAGTTGATGATTGAGTTTAAAGTTGATGATTGAGTTTAAATGTGGTTGTTCTTTGATTTGCACAATATCCTGTTTCAAATATAAACCCGAGGGGGGAGATGAAAATATTTGCATTTCTGCTGGCAAGACAATCTGATTTGTAGAAATGAAAACCACTTCCTCAGCTTCAGGCCTGGCTTTTCACTACCTTAGACTGTCCTGTATGGAAAATATTATGATCCATATAATGGAATATTGTATTTCATACAATGGGATATTCTTTGATTTGAACAATCTCCTGTTTCAAATATAAATGTGGAGGGAGAGATGAAACTATTTGCATTTCTGCTGGCACCTCCTAAACCTCAGGCCTGGCTTTTCACTGCCTTAGACTGGGCCTAACAGGAGACAGTCTTTGCTGCTGCCCTGGCACAACAATTTGGGATTTGGGAAAATCATCCTTGGGGGGTGAGGGTTGGAGAAGTTCTTCAAAGGAGAGAAGGAACGGGAGGTGAGAACGTTCTCGGAGCAGCACAAAGGGCATTCCAGAGGCATGCTGGGGCATTCCTGGGGGGAATCTCTTGGATTTGGGGATGCTGAGGGCGTGTTTTCCCGCAGGATCCCGACGGGGAGCACGCCAGGAGGGCCATGCAGAAGGTCATGGCGGTGGCCGGAGGGATGGGAATCGGGCCCGGCCCCGGCGGCCCCGGAATGCTCAACATCCCGCCCAGCATCCTGAACAATCCCAACATTCCCAACGAGATCATCCATGCCCTGCAGGCAGGCAGGTTGGGGAGCACCGTCTTCGTGGCCAACGTGAGTGCTGGAGGGGGGAAAATCGGGATTGCCTCGGAATTCCAGCCCTGGGAAAACCTCGGAGGGGCTTCAGCCTGGCCTGGTTGTCTGGGTGATCCTGAGGAGGTTCTGAGTTAGAAATTATATTTAAATTACATGGCAGAGTGGTGTTAATCTGGATTTTTGGGCGAAGTAGCAGCTTAGTCTGTGTCTTGTTGGCTCCCTGTGCCAAGGAAGTTGTTCCTAAAGGCCACAATGTCTGTTTATTTGGATTTTTGAAGAGAGCAGTAACTTAATTTGTGTCTTGTAGATTCCCTGTGCTAAATTAAGATGTATTTATATGTCAGAGTGTCTTCTAATTCAGATTTTTGAGCAAAGTAGTAACTTGATCTGTGTCTTGTGGATTCCCTGTGCTAAGGAGGTGATGAATTAAGAGGTACCTGCATGTCCCAGTGCCTGTTAATTTGGATTTAGAGCAGTAACTTAATCTGTTTTGTTGGTTCCCTGTGCTAAGGGAGTTCTGAATTAAGATATGTGTCCCAGTGTCTGTTAATTTAGATTTTTGAGCAAAGTAGTAACTTACTCTGTGTCTTGTAGATTCCCTGTGCTGAGGAGGTTATAAATTAAAATGTGCTTACATGTCAGAGTGTCTTTTAATTCAGATTTTTGAGCAAAGTAGTAGCTTGATCTGTATCTTGTTGGTCCCCTGTGCTGAGGAGGTTATAAATTAAGATGTATTTATATGGCAGAGTGTCTTTAATTCAGATTTTTGAGGAGAGCAGTACCTTACTCTGTGTCCTGCTGATTCCCTGTGCCAAGGGAGTTGTACCTGAATTCCACAGTGTCTGTTTATCTGGATTTTGGAGCAAAGTAGTCACTTAAACTGTGTCTTCTTGGTCCCTTGTGCTGGGGGAGTCCCAAATTAAGCTGTCCCTGCAGACCAGTGTCTGTTAATCAGAATTTTGGGACAAAACTCCTCCCTTTGCACTATTTCCATTCCCTCTTATCCTTGTAAACTCAGGGAAGGAAACACAAGGCACTAAGGCTGTTTTTCCATGGAAATCACTCCTATTCCCAACTCCTATTCCCTTTGTTTTGCAGCTGGATTACAAGGTGGGCTGGAAGAAGCTGAAGGAGGTGTTCAGCATGGCCGGGGTCGTGGTCCGGGCTGACATCCTGGAGGACAAGGACGGGAAGAGCCGGGGCATCGGCACTGTCACCTTCGAGCAGGCCATCGAGGCCGTGCAGGCCATCTGTATCCTTGGGAAAACCTTGGGAAAACCTGGAAAACCGGGGGCAAAACCCTCGGCAAACAGAGCAGGGGGGAAACACAGGGGGTGGGACAGCTGGGGGTGTTGCCATGTTGGGGGAAGTCAAGTTGAAGTGGATGGAAAATGTGAGGAAAGCAGGAAATAATTCCATGTGGAAGGAATTGTCACTCAGGATTGTCAGCAAAGGATTTCCACATGGAAAATTCCACAAATTTCCACGTGGAAATATGTGTATTAAAGTAGAATCCTGAGGGAAGATTTGCCTGGAATTCCTGTGCTGGAGGTAAAGGATGAGTGGAACAAATCCACATCCCATGGATTGGTTCCCTTGGGGAATGTGGATCCATGTTGTCCATGGGTTTGATCCAGGTGTGTCCCTCCCTTCCCTGTGTCCTTCCACTGCCCCAGCAACGATTTGCCACCTCAAACCCTCCCAAAATCCCAACCCACAATCAAATGCCAGCTATTTCCCTGTGTGTGTGACTTCTGTGCTGTGGAAAGGAGGGAAATATTCCCCCCTTTCCCCTCCTGGAGTTTCTCTTGGAATGTTAATTCCCTCCTTGTTGGGAGCAGGACTTGGCCAAGTGGTTCCCCCTTTGGAATGGGGGGGTTGGTTTGGAAATCAGGAGAATTTTTCCTTGTTTTCCCCTGTTTTAAATGGACAAAGTTCCTGAGGAGCCACTTGTTTGGAGTGGCATTTAATGAACTTCCCTTAGTTTTTAACTCAGTTTTTATTTGGAGAAAGCCCTTTGGATATTCAAACTCAAATTTGGATTTCAAAGGGGTTTTAGGTTTGGAGAAAGCAGGATTTGGGCTGAATTTTTAATTCATGTTTTAACTGCAAAAAGCCCTTTGGATATTCAAACAACACATTTGGATTTCAGAGGTTTTTTAGGTTTGGAGAATGCAGGATTTGGGCTGATTTTTAACTCATTTTAGCTGCAGAAAACCCTTTGAATATTGAAACTCAACACATTTGGATTTCAGAGGGTTTTTAGGTTTGGAGAATGCAGGATTTGGGCTGATTTTTAACTCATTTTTTAACTCAAAAAGCCCTTTGAATGCTCAAACTCCACACATTTGGATTTCAGAGGTTTTTTAGGTTTGGAGAAAGCCAAATTTTGGCTGCTCTGGGGTCTGGAACTTCCCAAAGGTGGATTTCTGGGGGGAGTTTTCAGGTTTGACCAACAATCCTTAACCCCCCCAGCCATGTTCAACGGGCAACTGCTCTTTGACAGACCCATGCACGTGAAAATGGTGAGTCCAGGCCCTCCCTCCTGCTTTTCCAGCCGGGAATTCCTGGGAATTCCGCTCCTGAGCCGAGGGGATGGTTGGGTTCAAGGTTGGAGCAAAATCCAGGGGGATTTGCCCGATGGATTCTGATTTATTGTTACAATTGTTTCACTGTATTAATTAAATTATTTACTAAATTCTGTTTATTAAGTGTAAATATATTTTTAAATATTAAATAAAATTAAATTAATAGTAAATTAATTTATTGTTACAATTAATTTATTAATTAAATTATATTTATTAAATGTAAGTATATTTTAAAATA